GGAGCAGTGACCTGCCTCTCCCCTTTTTTTTTTTCCTTTCCTTTTTTTTTTTCTTCACCACATTTGCTTGTGCACCCATTTTACCTTCAGAGATCATGTTAGGGAAGGTGAATATCACAAAGTGTTGTGTTAGTAGAACAAAGTGTTTTTGCATTGAGGGAGTGCTTGAGTGGAGGCCCAGTGTCCATCTGCTATCATAGTACTTTACAAATAAATGTATGTGCATAGCTCTATTCCCCCATCATTGTATATAAATGTATTTACATATGTACATGTCTGTATTTAGACCCTATAAATGCCCTATGCCTCCCAGTTCTTTCCTCTATTTCCTTTTACTTTCCTCCTGTCCAGCTATCATGTTCAGCCTTCATTCGGGTTTTAGTAATTCCTCTCAGCTACATTGCCTTTGATCAAGACCTACCCCCCACCCCCAAAGCATCCTATACCTTCCTCACCATCAATTTTAGAACTTATTTTTCCCTTGCCCTTGGGTTTGTTGGCACTCCCCTCTTTCTCCCCCATTTCTCCCTCTCCTGTGTCCACTATTCTGTTTTAATGGAAAAAAATCATTTAGAAATTTCTGAGGGTCAAAAATAAATTGTTTTAATGACCAATAATAAAACATTCTTTTAGAGATCAAAATGGCATCTTTTAAATGCCCTTCATTTTGGAATTAAAATTAGTCCTTTAAAAGAAAATCTTTCTTCCCTAAATAATACTTGCATATAGTAATATTTCAAATGGGCAGAAGGACTTACAATAAAAAAATGAAAAACCACAGCTTTTTCCCCAAACTTGTTTATGATTTTAGGCCTGTCTTAGGTTAATCACAAAATTCTAGCTATTAAAAACATGTTTGGATGCTGTTTCTCAAATGACCTACTTAAAAACAAGTAAACCCAAAACCTCACTGCCATTGAGTTGATGCTGACTCATAGTTAGCCCTATGAAACAGGATAGAAAGAATTTCCTCTAACTTTTGTGGGGAGTAAAAGCCCAGGGTATCTTATCAAATCTTATACCTCTTCTGAAATGATTAGCCGGCTTTTCTCTTTGAATCAGTTGCTATATTAAATTGGACTGATAACTTTAAATAATTATGTATATACAGAAATACAATTTTTTGACCAAAGCAACAATCCACCATCCTGCTGTTCCTCGCCTCACTCTAGAAAGTGGACCGCATGAAATGCACTGCTCAAGCTGCCTTTCAGGGTTTTCTGTTAACTCTTACATCATCACTTCCTGTCTTTGCTTTAGCTGCTCTTAAGTTCAAGAACAAACTTCAGAGTCTCTTTAGACATGCATCTGGTCTTTTCTTTCTTGTTCTTTTTTTTTAAGTGACCTTTTGCTTTCTTAATGTATGATGTTGTTGATACCCTTCCATAACTCATCAGGTCTTCTGACATTAATAAATGCATCGAATCTCTTCTTGAGATGTTCTGTAAATTCAAGTGGCATACACTTAGGTCCTATTTTGACCCTTAAGGACTTCTTTTAATATTTTTCAGCTTCAGATTGAATTTTCATATGAGCAGTTCGATGGTCAGCCCCTGGCCTTGTGTTGGCTGATGATAATCAGCCTTTCCCTTGACTCTTTTCATAAGTGTAGTCAATTTGGTTTCTGTGTATTCATCTGATAAGGTCCATGTGTATAGGCACTGTGTTAGTCTGGGTACTTTAGAGAAACAAATCCATAGAAACTCAGGTATAAGAGAGTTTTATATAAAGGGTAAGTACACATCAAGAAAGTATCCCAACCCAGTGCTGCCCAAGCTCACAAGTCCCACATTAACCCATTAACCCATAAGTCCGACACCAATCCACAAAGCCCTCCTCTATCTCACAAAAGACACACTGTGACTCTGACTGCAGGAGGAAAGCCAAGTCAGTGAACGTGTAAGCATCTCAGCTCTGGCAGGGGTCTCCACACGGCTGCTCCAGCACCCAGGGCTGCATCAGGGTAGGTCCATGGCTTCTCCTCAGGGATGTCTTGCAGGAAGTGAGCCTTGCCACCTGAAACAGTGAACTAGCTAAGGCAGTTGCACCCTGGTCCGATCATCACAAAGCAAGAGACCCGAGAACTCGAAAGGTGAGGCTCACGGAGCCATTTATCCCTTCGCCCTTCAATTAACCCCACATGTGTTTATCGGCCAGGTTGGCACAATAAACTACCTATCTCAGGCACCATTTTTGTTGAATAACAACATTTATAATGAAGAAATTAGAAATTGTTAGTCTTATAAAATTCTATCATGCAATCTCCAGCTTCATTTCTACCACCCGGGCTGAATTTTAATCACCAGTATCTTGATTGCATGCTTGGTTAACTTCAAACTGAAGAAGTTTGTAGAATTAATTTCTTCATCACTAGCTTAGTGGTTGATGAAAAAAATTGAATAATAGTTGCATGTAGCTGGACTTCCTGATAAGTGTATGGATATCATCATTATATTTCAAGGTAAATATTGAAATGTTCTTTTTGAGGATGAGCGTGACTCAATTCCTCTGGAACTTGTCATTTCTGGCGTAGTACCATATGGTGGTCTGATTTAAAAGGGTCTAATTCCAGTCCATTTCAGCTCACTAGTGCCTAGAATATCAATCTTCATGTGTTCATTTTATTTTTAATGACTTCCAATTTCTCTAGATTTATAATTTGTACATTTCCCATTGTGATTGTTAGAGAGTCTTGCAGCGTTTCTTCTTATTTTGAGTGGTGTCCCATGAGCAAATGAAGGTCTTCAAAGTTTTGCGCCCTTTCTGTATTAAACTAATTCTTTTCGTGCTGTTGCCACTTTGATCCCATAGAGAACTTAAGAGAGTATGTGCTCAAAACCGAATTTTTCGTTTTACTAGTTAACCCAAACTATTGTTGAATTTTAATAAGACTTCAGAGGATATTTTTGGTAAGCTTAAAGATAATTTAAGGCAATAGTGTTAGAGGTTTGCTAAACCCCCATGGCTCTAGGAAATTTAGAGTATGAAAATTTGAAAGTCAGCTCTATATTTTCCACGTTTTGATAAAAAAAAATTTAAATGATCAAAATTTTGATCAAAATGTTCAGAAATAGTCATTGGATACAACCCGTTCTTCTGGCCAACAGAGGCAGTTATCCATGGAGGCAATTAGCCACACTTGCATTTCTTCTTACTCTTGATTCCCTTTTTCTCTTATTCCAGGTGAATGTAGTCCAGTTCTTATGCTCTGCATGACTATGTGCAAGATGTTAACCCAGATGCTACATATCAAAGTAGGGAGTAGACTAGAGGCATCAAACATGTGATAAGGCTGATTAATTGCGATGTTCCTTGAATTCATAACCCTAAAACGGCAAAACTAAGTCCCATAAATTTTGATTACATTCAGTAACTTTTTATTTATTTAGGCATTATGGTAAATAAATTTATCATACAACTTTGCCAATTCAAGTATTTACAGGTGCAGCATTTACAACAATAGCCATAATAGTGCTTAGTTGATGTGGCTTGTTCACAGAAAACTGCATCATTTGATTTTGCACACTTAGTTTCTCAATCCATTTAAAATCTGCTTTTGTTTATGGCATAAACAAAAATAGTGTTTCATTTTTTGGCACTTGGAAACCCAGTTTTTCCAGCACCATATGTTGAAGAGACTCCTTTTCTTATTGAGTGGACTTAAAAATCAGTTTAAAATGGTGTTAAAAATTACTTTTGAACTTTGGATTCTGTTCCATTGCTTTGTGTACCTTTTGTCATATGGGTACCAGATTGTTTGATTACGATATCTGCATCTTATGTTTTAAAACCAGGCCATGTGAATCCTACTACTTTGTCCTTCTCTTTCAACATTGATTAGCTATTTGATGCCTTATGCCATTTTATAAAAAGTTGAGGATTATTCTTATTAATGTAAACAAGACTTTTGGAATTTTGATAGGGAATATGTTTAATCTAAATTACTTTGGAGAGTAATGGCATTTTAACAATATTCGGTTTTCTAATTCATGAACATGGAACATATTTCTGTTTATTTTTTTCTAATCTCTTTGACTAGTGTTTTATATGTACAATATCTACAATATTTTACTTAAAATATTGTATATATTTTATGTATAAAGTCCTACACATTCCTAGTTAGGAATATTCCTAGGTATTTTATTTAGATGCTATTATAAATGGAATTGTTTCCCTTTCATATTTCTCATTGCTGGTGTATGGAAACCCAGCTGATTTTTGTTTGTTGAAGCCTGAAACATAGCTAAATTCCTCTATTTGCTCTGTAAGTTTTCTTGTGGACACTTTAGGATTTTCTCTATAGAGAATCATATCATCCATTAATAGAAATAAGTTTACTACTTTTTTGCCAACCTGGATATTGTTTGCTTTTTCTCTATTGCTCTGGTGTCAATTCTTATCCAAGCATGTAGTAGAATTTCCCAGTGAAGCCATCTGATTCAGTAATTCTTGGTTGTGATTGGGAGCTTTTTGATCACTGATTCCGTCTTTAGTATTTTATGGCTCTGATAAAATTTTATACTCTTGAGTCAGTTTGTATAGGTTTCTGCTTCTAAAAATGTGTCCCAATTCAGGCCGGTTGTTTGGTTTGTCATAGAAGTTATGCAAACCAGTTTGTTGTGTTGTTGTTAGCTGACGTGGAGTCTGTTCGGATTCATAACAGCCCGATGTGCAACGGAAGGAAGCACTGCCTAGTCCTTACAGTCATGGCTATGTTTCAGCCATAGGTTACAGAGACGGTGTCAGTTCATCTTGTTCAAAGTGCTCCACCTTTTCCCGGCCCTGTACTTTACTAATCATGGTGCCCTTCTCCAGGGCTGATCCCTCCCAATCATATGTCCAAAGTACGTGAAACGAAAGTCTCCCCATCCTTATTTCTAAGGCGCATTCCAGTTGGAATTCTAAGACAGATTTGTTCATTCCTCTGGCAGTCCGTAGTGTAGTCAGCTTTCTTTGCCAACACCATAGTTCATGTGCATCTGCTTTTGTTTGGTTGTCTTTTCATTGTCCAGTGTATGCATGCATATGAGGAAATGAAAAAGACCAGGACCTACAGGGTCAGGTGCACTTAGTCCTCAGAATGACATCTTTTCTGCTTATAACTTTTAAGAAGGTGTTTTGTTTTGTTTTTGTAGCAGATTTGCCAAGTGCCAATATAATGTTTGATGTGTGTGTGTATGTGTGCATGTGGGCCACGCCATGGCCCTTGATTGTTGATCCAAGATTGGGACCCTTGACAAATTCAAGGTGTGACAGAGGCCTGAACTGACTCAGTGGCAACAACACTGAGAATTCTGTTATCTCAGGAATCATAATTAGGGAGAAATGTGTTGTAGGTGGTTTTTCTATCATCTTTCTTTCCTCTCTGTAACGACTGTTTTTATTTATTTATTTCTCACTCGCTTTTCATGTACTTGATCAAGTATTTCAGTATAAACTTAATATTTTTCTCTTCCTTATTGAGTAATGCAGGGATTTACTTGATTACTTCTACTTCTGTCTTATAACACTATCATCTTTTATGATGTTGTTATATGGTATTTTTTAGTTTAATTTACATCTTCCTGGATTGCTGTTTATCAGAATCACAAATTTCATATTTTTACCTATCTATTTACCAGTTTCTTTGCTGATCTTTGGGTATTTTTACATTGTTTCATTCAACAACTTTGGAGTTAAAATCCCGTTTTCCTAAGCTCTACCCTGTATTATGTCCTCCACTGGAGACTTAAAAAGAATAATGTATCACTTATTGTATCTGAAGTATCAATTAGTAGGTTTCTAAGTAGAAGTACAATCTTAAATGACAATCTACCATTAAATTTAGAAATCAGAAATATATTTTATTTATTGTTTTAGTGCTTATCTAAATATAACATTTATTCTAAAACCACTTAACAATGTAAGATAATCACTATATTACTACTTGCCTTATCTTAATCTTTTTGTCTATCTTTCCTTATATCTTTTTCTAGGGTATTTTATTTAACTACTTATTTATCAAACAAGTTTTAAAGTCAAAGCAGAGATTTCACTATTCATCCATTAGAGTTCAAGTTTATTTTATTTTGTTATTTAAATAGGGCTTCATTGCCTGTTAAAAAGAGAATTAGAGGTTGCATAACTGATCATCACTGTACTCTTTTCTAAATTCCTTATTTAACATTGTGAAATGAAAGAGATAGAAGATTAATATGGATATAGGGCACAATTGTAGCACTTCTTGATTATGTCTGAAACTCGAGTACTCTAATATGTAGGTGTCCTGTGTTGTGAATGTTTGTTGAAGTATGCAAAATTTTGTCTTTTTTCCTCTAGCCCTCCAAGCCACAAACTTGTGGTGAATGGAAAAGAATGCATAAACTTTGCCTCATTTAATTTTCTTGGATTGTTGGATAACCCTAGGGTAAAGGTGAGTAGCGCATAATGCTTGAGTAGTATAGATGACATTACTGAAAGAGCATAAAATGAGAAAAAAAATGCAGAATGTCAGAATGAAATGTCTGTTTGTTATTACAAGGGAGATGACAACATCTGGTGTGGGTTAATGTTTTTTTTTATGGCTAGGCGTGTTAGGCTCTGCCTAGAGAAACAAAACCAGTGACAATCATGTATGTTTAAGAAAGAAATTTATATCAAGAAGGCATCCCCAGCCCAGTCCAACTCAAGTCCATGGGTCTTCTGTTAGCCAAGGCCCTCTTCAGAGTCACACAGCTGCAGGCTGACGATGCAGAAAGGTAAAGCAGGAAACGGGGAGCTCCCAGGCCAGTGGGTGCAGAGATGTGTGCATCCAAAGTCAGAAACATGGCAGGGCGCTGACAGCTCTCCAAACTGGTGTCCCAGTGGGCCCACCCCTGGAGGTAGACACAGAATCTTAGTGAGGAGGAAGGTAAAGGAAAAGAGAGAAAAGTCTCAGTCTTAAGAAAGGTCACACCCCAATGGAGGCATCATCAGACTGTACCTGATTGATAGGTTGGACTCCACCTTTCCACTTTCACACAGGTTCAAGCTGACAGAAAATCTAGCCATCACACCAGGGAACTACATAAGTAGACCTGATTATAGTCTGAGAGGTGTCTAGGAAATTGGTACACTACCTAATGGGATTATGAGCGAGAAAACATTGTTGAGGAAAGAATTCTTTATTGCCATAAGGCCAAGAAAAGCATCAAGGATGGATTACTGACAAGATGGTTGACTTAAACAGACAAGCTACCCATACCCTCTACAACAGAGACATAGAAACCAAATTAAAAATTTTTTTTAATTTAAAAAAAAGAAACCAAATTAAACCAGAATATAGATGACATAGAAATCAGATGCCACTGATAATCCTGGAAACCTGAACCTCAAAGGAAAGGATACAGAAGTGGATTGACTATTAGCAGGAAGAAGAAACTGAATGAAAACCATAAACAAAGACGTATACAGAGCAGTAAATTGTCAAATAGCCTGATACACCATGGCCATTTTGGATTTTTGCAAGCAACATTTCAAATCCTTTTTTCATATCCACCAGGAGAAAAGTGGTGACCACCTAAGTGCTACCAAGTAAATACATTGTCACGATATCCTAGGCACAAAAAAACCAAACCAAACTTACTTCCATCCAGTCAGTTCTGGCTCACAGCGACCCTAGAGGACAGGGTAGAACTGCCCATGTGGATTTCTGAGACTAACTTTATGGGAGTAGAAAGCCTCCTCCTCCTCCCACTAGGGACACAACGGACAACTTTACTTCACCCAAAGAAACAAGCCACTGTAGTTCAAACAAATGACCAAAATACAGAGCCAAAACACATGCCCGAGAAAAAAATGGCACTGAGACTACCTTATAAGGAATTTAGAAGAATGCTATTTATGTACAGTCACTGTTTTGATACTAGGTACAATGGATTGAGAACCTCACCCTCCACTACCCTGAGATCAGAGGAACTCCATGGGAGTACCTAGCTTTCCCTGCCATCACCTCTGAAAGGGACCGCCTAAGCATGTCCTGTCTACAATGGAAGGAAAATGTGGAACAAAGCTCAAAGTCATAAAAATCAGAGTTAGTGGTTTAGAACCCTCAACACTAGCTTGGAACTTATCTCACCCCCTTGGATCGATTTCCAGCCAAACACTATATGAGCTAAACATGAATACTATAGAAGTGCACACTCCTTAGAGTAATCACTCATTAGATCTAAAAGGCAGTGTTTTCCCAGGGACAAAGTTTAAAAGGTTGGAAAGGTTATGAAACAAGGAAAAACAAAGGGGAGAGGGCGAACCACAGATAGGAAGGATATTGTAATAGGATATTGTTGATTTCATTTCTTGACATGGGCTATGTAAATAGTGTCTTTTATAAATAAATAAAAATCCCTCCAGATTTCCTTAGCCCTCAAACCTAAACAGTGGTCTGAGCGGCTTCGAGAAAAGTGAAACTGAAATGGACTTGGAATCTTGTGACAGACAAGTTCACTTCACACAATAACACACACACACACCCAAAAAATAAGAAAGAAAGGAAGGAAAAACAGAAACAGGAATCACAGGGTAGAAGTGACTGATTTTATATTGTGGGTATGGCAATCAATGACGTGAAAAATACAAATTTTTTAATGGGAAACTGATATTTGCTTTTTAAATTTTCACCTAATTCACAATGGAATTACAGGGAACCCTCGTTTATCACAGTTAATCGGTTCTAGACCCTACCGTGATAAATGAAATTCCGCGAAGTAGGATTCCTTATTTGTAAATCAAATATTTTCATAGTTAGAGCAGAGAGGACATGAAAAAACACCCTTTAGTCACCATCACACTCGTATTACCCAATTTATTAAACGAAAAAGGGAAAATACATTAAAACATTTTGGACTTTACAATTATCATTTATTATTTATTATATTATTTATGGCATCAAGCGTGTACAGTATGAGCCAATCAGTGGCAGTAATGACAGAACATGCGCTGTTACGCAAAAACCGCGATAGAGTGAAGCCGCGGAAGTCGAAGCGCGAAGTGGCGAGGGTTCACTGTATATATATCAAGAAGACATTGATTTAATCAGATTTTGAGAATCAAGCTGATACAACTTTCCAGTATTTTACATTATAAACCTAAATCTTTACATTTATTTTTCTTTTAATTCTGTTAGTATTGTTATGATTTTTAACACAGAGAGAAGCTATCTGGGTTAAAGAATAGGAAACATTTATTTTGTGCTCTTAAAGTGAAATTGTTTAAAAAATATATTTTTTTAATTGAATAAAGGCAGCAGCTTTTGCATCTATTAAAAAGTATGGCGTGGGGACTTGTGGACCTAGAGGATTTTATGGCACATTTGGTAAGTTTTTCTCATCTTCTTTTTCTTTCTCCCTTCAAGAGTTAGAGGAGGCCTGGTGTAGTGGTTATGCATAGACTGCTGACTGCAAGGCCAGCAGTTTGAAACACCAGCTGCTCCACAAGAGGCCTTCTACTCCCATAAAGTCAGTCTAGAAAACGCGCAGGGGCAGTTCTACCCTGTCCTGTATCGGGTCTCTGTGAGCAGGCATTGACTTGATGGCAGTGAGTTTGTTTTTTTGGTTCAAGAGTTAAGATTCAGTTTTACTCAAGAACACCTTAGAACAGGTGTCCTTATTGTATTAAGCTATGTGCGCTATTCGTTGCTAACTTTTTAGATTGTCTTGTTTTATTTTGTTTTGAAACCATTGGTGGGAAATGAGTTGTTCAGAGATTGAATGTAACTTGCAGAGAGCAGGGCTGTAGGCACATTTCAGGATGGACTGTATCAGCAGGACAGAAGCTGACCTGCTGTTGTAGATGCCTAAGAAACAATGGAGCTAAGAGACAGTTTTCTCTTATCACACAGGAAAGTTGTCAGGTGAGGAATTAAATTGTGGGGTGGCTCTGAGTTCTTCAAAGAACTCAATTTTCCTCATCTTGTTCTAGTATCGTACAGCACCCCTCTTGTCTACATAACCAAAGCCAAGTGGTGAGTTTTTGGGAAGGAAAAGTGCAGTACACCAATATTCTTTCAGGCAGAGGGTGTTATACACTTCTGCTGCCACTCCATTGGTGAGAACATAATCCCAGCCATGCTCAGCCACAAAGGAAATTGGGAAATAGTTAGGGAATCATTTTCTGGGAGGAAAATAAAAGATAGATTTCAGAGGGATAGAATAGGTAACTTTTGGGGTTTTGGAAATGAAGTTGGATTGTTAAATTCCTTGTGTCTTGAAGACCCAAGGATAGGCTAATTAAATCTTTTCATGAGTGTGTGATATTAAATAATGTAAACTTTCTAACTTGGAGTCATCAAAGAAGACCTAGGCATTTTATGGTTATATTTATTATTATGTGCTTCTGAAAATGTCATTAAATAATTGTTCAACTGGAAATGTTACTGGAAATAGCATGCTTACTTAAATATGTAAGGCTTAGGGGACATAGAGAAAGAAAAGCATCTGAGCTCTTCTATTTTCATTGTTATATCTGTGTATTTAAGTTAGGATGTTTTATGTAATAAGTATGTTTTCTTTAGTAACTAATTAACTGGTGGTTATTAGTTTTGATGCAAATGAAGTGAGTTAATGTCCAAAACTTCTTCAGCTGGAAGGGGTTAAAAAAAATTTTTTTTTTAAATAAGAGACTATTTATTGAAGTCTTAAATGGTGCAAGGACAAGACAAAGACTTATTATCCAGATGAACTAAATAATGAGGGTTAGACACAAGGCACAGATTTCAGTAGTGCTCATACACTAAGGCAAAATCATGTCTGCAGGATAAAGATGTCACAAAGAGCAAGGAAATATGAACATGGCGAGTACAAAGTTGCAGTCTTCGTCTCACACTAGGGCATTTCCAGTTGGAAGGGAACGTAAGGAGACTGAATTCTAACATTCCGTCTATTCAGCAGGCCTAGAGAGGCATTTAAGAAACTGGCTCCAGATTGGAGTAGCAGGGTGGGTAGTGCATGGTAATTGGGGTGTGTGTCAGAACTGGACTTCATTGAGAGAAAGCAAAGCTCAGGATAGCAAAGGGGAAATTTCTGGGATTCCAAGACAGTACTATCCAAGACAAGGCTCAGGATAATAAAGGGGAAATTCCTGGGATTCCAAGACAGTACTATCCAAGACAAGGCTCAGGATAACATAGGGGAAATTCCTGGGATTCCAAGACAGTGCTGTCTAAAGTGAGTAGTGCAGTCTGAGCTGTTGGAAATCCCAGGCAAGGAACAGAAAGAATGTATTACAGGTAAAGGGCAAAGAGAAAGTACAGCGATGTAGTGCAAGTTTGTGCCCCACAGGCCTAAAGCAGTGTATGACTACCAGGAAATGGTTCAAGGACACACATTACCCAGAAATCCTTTCTGCTGGACACAGGAATGCATGCTCCTCACCCCAGTCAGCATCTTGGGCTACCCCAACCATCTATAGTTGGAGATACCCATAGGTTGGAACTGACTAGCCGAGTGAGAATTCTGCCCGAAGAACTGTGGCAGGAAATTTACCCAGACAGCTCATGCCTGGCCCACTCACTTGAGTTATGCCCCCTACAATTGTAAGTTACATATGTTCCCACCCCAGCCCAATGCTCCAAATTAACTTCCTGGATGCTGCAACATGCTCACGGAAACCTGACAGGCAGGAGAATGTGCTGTTACCCAGAAACCTGATGTTCTTTGTCAGTACCAACATAACACCTGTGGCTATGCCTTCAGACCAGCGCAGAGCCCAAGTCACTTTCTCTGGTACTACACAGATCCTGAACACCACTTCCGATCTGAGCAAGACGAGCAGCCTTGCCTGGTACCCTGGTGTTTTTTGGGCGCAGAAATGTGTGTGTGTGTGTGTGTGTGTGTGTGTGTGTGTGTGTGTGTACAAAACTAATCCTTTAGAAGTAGTACACAAGAAGCCGATTATTACTTCCCCCTCCTCCCCCACAAAGGAACGCCTCAGCTGTGCCCAGGAGGTGGTGATGAAAGTCCTATTAGGCCTCTGCTTCCTTGCAAGGTAGGCCCCAGCTGTCCATGAGACCCAGCAAGGAAGGCCCAGGCCATCCCCAATCTAGGAAGGCTGCTGCTGTCCCCCAGGACCTGGCACGGTAGAACTGGATTGCACCAGTGACCCAACAAGGAAAGTCCCAGGTGTTCCTACCCCTAGACAAGGAAAGCTCAGGTGTTCCCACCCCCCAGGAAGGAAGACCTCAGCCATCCCAGAAACTTTACAAGGAAGACCAGAAGCAGTGGACACAAAAGAAGAACTGAGCTTTGGTAGCTGAAGGTAGAGTTTTCATAGGATGGAAAGAAATACTACTTCCTTTCAAGATCACTGCAAGAGCTGTCCACAAACAATCCTAGTACCTTTATGAGGTGTAATAGGTAGATGGGTGACAGAGAAGACGATTTCACCTTTTATCAGGGAGTTAGAGTGACAGGAGTACTTCTACCTCCATCACCACCAGCAGCCCCATTGAACATGGAAGGGGGGGAACATGGCAGTGGTCTTACCCAAACCCCCAGCTCTGAAGAGATCAGCCCCACCAAACTTCCTGGATTATACCCGACTGGTGAGCCCTCACCTCCCCCCAACAAGCTCCATGAGCCACCTGATACTGTGTCTGACGATGAGAAAGATCATGGGAAGAAAAAGGACTGAAGGCTATACTGCCTTTCAGGAAGGTAGCTCTGGAGATGAAGCTGAAAGTCCTTCCAAGATGAAGAGGGCCAAGGGGATTCATGTTTCCAAGAAGCTCAGCTTTTCTAAAAAAGAGAGAAGGACTTTAAAATAAAGGATAAACCTGTGCTCACTTCGGCAGCACATATACTAAAATTGGAACGATTCAGAGAAGATTAGCATGGCCCCTGCGCAAGGATGACATGAAAATTTGTGAAGCATTCCATATTTTTCTGTGGTCTGTGTCCAGCTGGGCTGTGGCTTGGTGTCCCTGTGACTGTGAATCTGTCCCCACGTGTGCCACGTGCTTGCTCCTGAGTCGTGTATCTATGTCTCATGTTCCGTGTTGTGTCACCCCTGTGCCCCGTTTACCAGGGTGCCTATGTGGCCTGAGCCCATGGCCCCTGTAGCCATGGCCTGGTCCCAGTCCGGTGCCTTTTCACCCTGGGCGGCAGGGGCACCCTGCCACAGCCAACCACCGCTGCCTCCGGGCCTCCACCTGGCCTCATACATTCCAGGGGCTCTGTGCCCCCTACTTCTCCCACCACTGGCCTTAACCGGCCCTCTGGCCCGTCTTCTGCCCGGGACAGGGTGGCAAACACCACTCAGGACCACCCGGCCATGGCAAAATAAACTGGATCCTGTCACCGGAAAAAAAAAGGACAACCCCAAAGAAAAAAAGCATAAAGAGAAGTCAGAAGACTTAACAGCAGATGATCTTGTTAAACAGTGGAAGGAAAAGAGAAAAACGAAAGGCCAGTTACAGAGCCAGAGGTGCCTCAAGTTGATATTCCAAATCTCAGACCCATTTAAAAATTTCATTTATTTATTTATGTACATTCTATTTTAAATTGGGAGTTAATACATATATCATTCTATAGTTTAATCACATCAAGCAGTATTGTACAATTGCTACCACAGTTTCCAAACATTCTTTTCCTTCCTGTACTCCTTGGCATTGTCTCCCTTTGACCCCACCTCCATCTCCCCTCCTTGTGCCACCACTACCACCACTGTCCCCTCCCCTCTCTGCCCCTCTTGAAACCCTTACTCTACTCACTGTCCCTGTAGGTTCATCCATCCTGGGTTTCATATACTCAAACCAGAAAAACATATGACACAACTTCAAGAGGGTGACCTCCAATGACATGACACCTCTGAGATACGCCGTAACATGAACAAATGAAAATACAGATAACGTTAAAAACGTTAAAACCAGATCAGGTCCAGCCTGCATTGGAAGGGGGATCAACTGACAAGACTTGAACTGTCCAAGTCAGGTTTACCCCTTTGCTCTTCTATCCTCGTCTCTCCAGGGCACTCTTGTTTAGTAACCTCTTTCGTCCCATTCTTCAATTATGGATAGTGGGAGCTCATATGGGAAGCTTATTTCCTATGTAGTTCCCACAAATATATCTTGAACTCCCACTGTCATCCAGAGCTTTCCACAAACTGGATTCTCAGAGTTTAGGCTCTGATACTAATTCCTCCTTCAACTTCGGATTAAATGATTTATAGTCCTTTGGTCACTGATGATAGTGTGTTTCTTCCAGGTGGACTTAGCTGACATTTCATTTAGATGGTTGCTTATTTGAAGACAAGCCTTTAAAACCCCAGATGCTATGTTTTCTGCTAGCCAGGCGCCAGCTAATTTCTTCCCCACATTTTGCTGTAGCACCCATATCTTCTTTGTTTCCTTCCTGAGGGCAAGTATCAAGCAGGGCCATGAAGTAAGAACTAATTGTTCTTACGTTGGAGCTAGGATTGAGTGCAAGCCCAAAACCCATTCCTGGGCACCGCCCCCCTCCCCTTTTTTTAATCTGCCTTTGGCTCCCTTTCAAAACCTCTTTGTTAATTTATGGTAGAGAGTCTTATTGATCATCCTCCTGGGGCATAACAATCTTCTGTTAATACTGTCTTCGATTAGCCTCAGGTACTAATTTTTTAAAACCCTGTTGAGAGAGGGATATTGAACAAATGTAGTCTAACTCCATATCAGCGAACCTGAATTATTCACTTGTACAGAATCAATACTTTCATAGATGGACACTATTTACACAAATAATGGGGGTTAATTGTCAGGGAAATTTACAAAGGTCATCACTGAGAAGATTGTCACAGGTTTGCAGGAACAACACCTATCTTAATACAGCATATAGGGCATTGATGTAGCAAGACAATGTTTGTCCGCCTACCGACAATGGAACAATTCTTGATCCAGCTGTCTATTGCTTTCCCAGACACCATGTCTTTTCTGACAAGTCCTCAGGTTACAAGTGTGCTGAGGTAGAGTTCACCCAGGGGGGTTTCCGCATCGGCTCACTGATGCAGCCTCTGGAGCATGCCGTGCATCTTGAAGATCCAGGATTCAGTGTGCCCGGGCTCCAAGGCACACATCTTGGTTCCCCAGGATGTACCCAGAATCCCGGGTCAGTGTGGCCTATTCGATGCATACCACCAAAGACACCACCCTCCCAGAGTCCCCAAACACATTTTCAGGCATTCTTCCCCCATTGGAGGCTGGTCCTCCTTTTTGCCTGCATGCATTCGTGCTCCCCAGATATGTTTGCTCCCTTCCCCTCTTGATTTGTTTTCCCTTCAGTGTCCCTCGTCCTTCTGCTGGAGCTGTCTGCTTGTCTATGGTGACCACATCATAGATTTACATGGCAGTCACTCAGTACACAACATATCCTTTCCCTCCTTTAGCCATTTGATCCCAGCTGGTGCTTTCCAGCAAACTACCCTCCAAAATACTTACCTAGAGCAGATGGGGTTCATTAGCACTGGTCATGCGCTCTCCCAGGCTGTCTGCCCCCCCGCGACCAGCAGAATGGATGGGCGCCCTACAAGCTGAGCTTGTGCCCACTCTGCTGCTTGTTCCTACAGCAGTGGACTCATATTTGTCCTTTGGCTATTGACTAACTTCACTCAGCATGTCAGACCCAGTTTTAAAATTCCTTGGCTGACGCAGCAGAAAGGACCATAATGTATGTATGATGCATTTACCTGCCTGCAGTCTTCTGAGAATGTTTCATAAGTGGTTCTCGACCTTCCTAATGTCGTGACCCTTTAATACTCTTCCCTATGTTGTGGTGACCCCCCCCAACCATAAAGTTATTTTTGTTGCTACTTCATAACTGTAATTTTGCTACTGTTATGGATTGGGCGACTCCTATGAAAGGGTCATTCCACCTGCAAAGGGATCGTGACCCACAGGTTGAGAACCACTGGTTTAGATGATGTGGAAAAGTATGGCATGAAATGTGAAGGCATCTACAGAAGTTTAGGGTTTAAATCAAAAGTGGATAAGCTAGGTGCAGTGTAGCACCAATGAAACATAAACAACTTTACTCTAGTTCTTTAATGCTTCCTCCCCCCCCACTATCATGACCCCAGTTCTACCTTACAAATCTGGCTACACCAGAGTATGTACAGGGGCACAGATAAGAGCTGGTAACACAGGGAACCCAGGACAGATAAGCCCCTTAGAACCAATAATGAGAGCAGCGATAACAGGTAGGGGGAGAAAGAGGGAACCGATCACAGTGATCGACATATAACCCTCTCCCAGAGGGATGGACCACAGAAAAGTGGGTGAAGGGAGACATCGGTCAGTGTAAGACATCAAAAAATAAAATTAATTTATAAACTATCAAGGTTTCATGAGGGAGGGGGGCGGGAATGAGCTGATACCAAAGGCTCAAGTAGAAAGAAACTGTTTTGAAAATTATGACAACAAATGTACAAATGTGCTTGACACAATGGATGTATTTATGGATTGTGATAAGAGCTGTATGAGCCACCCATAAAATGATTTTTTTTAAAAAGTGGATGAACTAAAAGCAGCCTGTGACCATGAAGTCTCCAAACTTGGATGAATACGAGCCTAGCACTGAAGCCAGTTTGTTGACGCAGTATTTGATGGACTCCGGAGAATTTGCTTACCAACGAGCTGAGGCCAGGATTGAAGAGGCCTGTAGCAGGACCACCGAAGGTGAGAAAGTACAGGAATTCCAACGCTTTCTGAAGGAACTGCCGGAGTGGACCTGTCTTCTCATTCCCTGGCTGATTATGCACATGGACCATGTTATCTCCAAAGAACTGGAAACAAAGGCGAACATACAGAATGTTTGTATAGTACTCAGCCAAATGGTCCGATTAGCAATCATAACTTCTATGTGTTTTTCTCACATGGGCAAGAGCTCTTTGAAAATGTGATACTGAAGCAAGTGACAAAAACTCTTCAGTGGTCTGACATGGCCACTAGGTCCACACTGCCAGACACCCAGGAGAGCATCAAGGGGGTGACCAGAAGATAAGAGTTTCTTTTGAATTCTTTACATCAAGATTTGCAGGGTGGGATCAAGGATTTATCTAAAGAAGAAAGATTATGGGAAGTACAAAGAATTTTGACATTGCAAGAAAACTGAAAGAAGCTAAAAGAAAAAAGTGTGAAACCAAGATTGCACAAGAAATAGCTAGTCATTCGAAAGAATTGACGAGTTTCAGTTCAGATTGAGGAGGAGAAATGGAACAAGGAATATCATTACTGATGTCAAATGGATCTTGGCAGAAAGCAAAGAATTCCAGAAGGATGCTTGCTTGTGTTTTATTAACCATGCCAAAGTATTCAATTCTTTGGGTCATAGCAAATTGTGGCTAGCTTTGAGAAGAATGGAAATTCTAGTGCACTTAATTATGCTCATACAGAACTTGTATATTGATCAAGAAGTAGTTATGCAAATAAACCAGAGTATTGCATGATTTCAAATCACAAAAGTGCGTTAGGGTTGTATCCTCACCATATTTTTCAGTCTATATGCTGAGCAAATAATCAGGGAAGCTGGATTACATGAAAAAGAAAGTGCATCAGGATTGGTGGAAGGCTTATTTAAAAAACCTGGAGTATACAACTTTGCTTGTTGAAAGCAAGGAGGACTTGAAGCATTTTCTGTTGAAGATCAAGGATTGTAACCTTTAGTATGGATCACAACTCAATGTAAGAAAGACTAACATGAGAAATGGAGAAAAGGTTCAAGTTGTCAAGGATTTTGCCTTGCTTGGGTTCATAGTCAGTGCTCATGGGAAGCAGCAGTCAGGAGATCAAAAGATGTTAGGTAATGTCTTACATTAGGTAAGACATTTGGTAAATGTGCTGCACAAGGTTGTTCCTTTGAGGACTAAGGTGTGCCTGACCCAAGCCTGGTATTCTCCATTGCCTCATATGCATATGAAAGTTGGACTGTAGAAGCATGGATGCATTTGAATTGTGCTAGAGAGGATTGTAGAAGTACCATGGACTACTAAAATGACAAACCCATCTGTCTTGGAAGCAGTAAGGCCAGAGTACTCCTTAGAGGCAAAGATGGTAAGACTTAATTTTATGTACTTGGGACATATTACCAGGAGAGACCAGTCCGGGAGAAGGACATCATGTTTAGTAAAGTTGAAGGACAATGAAAAAGAGGAAGTACTTTAATGGAGTGGACTGAAAAGGTAGCTGCATCAGTGGGCTCCGGCTTAGGAACAACTGTGAGGATGACAATCTTTATATTCTGCATGAGGTCAAGATGGGTCGGAGCCAACCCTATGGCACCCAACACTAACAGTAACACAGAATCATTTGGTGTGTAACCAGTTACCTATGAGTGAATACATACAGGATTACTATACTCATTAGTTAATGTGATGTAACAAGTAGAATAGAAATAATAATGTTGGCAAAATGTGAAGAATATAACCAATGTCACTGAACATTATAGTTATAATTTATTGAATGGGAACCGGTTTTGCTATGTGTACTTTGACCCAAATTCCAATATAATATTTAATAAAAACTAATCTATTGCCTCTGGGAAAAGGTTGCAAGTTAATTTGCAGTATGACAGGTTCATAGCAGGATGCTAAAAAATTAAAAATATGGTGTAATTTTATTTTAGTTCATGGTTTGCATACACTTGCCTCATTGCTTCTTAGGAATTCTTGTAATAATTTTTCTTTTAAATGTATAAATATTGGGCTTTTTTTACCCTGTACCTTATCTTAGTTGTACTGGCTTGAATGGTTGTAGAGTAAGTTACCTTGACATTTTATTATTAGATAATGTCAGAGAAGCTACTTGAAGCCAGCTAAGGCAGAGTAAGAGGTCTAAAACACTCTGTATAGTCCATGCCTGTAAACAGACATAAGAACTTCTGTGCTCCTATTCTTGAAAAGCAACATGAACGTTTAGGAAGTTTGGAAGTTTAGGGTCTCATTTCCTAGAAACCCAAAAGGTGACTTTTAATTTTGTTCTATTTTATTTCTCCTGGAAGTATTAAATTCAGATATATAATTTCAAGTCCCATTTGCTTTTTAAGCTCTTTTCTTAACTCTTTAGATGATGACTATAAAACACTTATAAAGGTAAATTTCTCTATTACACCCTTTATAATAATTCACAGTAATGTATAAGATAGATGATCAATACAGAAAAAGCATATTGAGTGACTGGTTAGCTAAAATTCATCTAGTTTATAAGGTGTTGTATCCCTCTTCCTGTTCCTCTCTTGCCTCTTCAAGACTTGGGATGGTGTTTTTGTTTATAGGAAGAAAAAGAATTACAATACAATTTAACCATATAACTTTTATTATTGAAATAGATGTGCACTTGGATTTGGAAGATCGCCTAGCAAAATTTATGAAGACAGAGGAGGCCATTATCTACTCATATGGATTTGCCACAATTGCCAGTGCTATTCCTGCTTATTCGAAGAGAGGGGACATTTTGTTTGTGTAAGTAACATTTACCGAAATTCCTAATAAACATTCCTTTATTAGACATTATCTGGCTTACATGATGTGAGGTTTTTAGTTTCTGTTTTAAATAACTATAATTGTCCCAAACCAAACTCACTGCCTTCCAGTCCATTCCAACTCATGGTGACGTTTTAGGACAGGGTAGAACTGCCCCTTTGAGCGTCCATGATTGTGACTCTTCAGGGAGTAGAAAGTCTCGTCTTTCTCCCAAGGAGTGGTTGATGGTTTCAAACTGCTTGCTTTGTGGTTAGCGGCCTACTGTGCCACCAGGGCTACGGAGGGTTGCTGTGAGACAGAATTGACTCAGGGCAGTGAGCTTGGGGGGGGGTTGTTTCGTTTTTTACTAGAAGCATCCTTAAAGTTGTTAAGCACTCAGTTATTTGTCCTTATGGTCTTATTTATTTTTCTCTGTTGTTGTTAGTTGCCATTAGGTGCCATCAAGTCAGTTCTAACATAGACACCCAATACACAGTTCAGTGAAACACTGCCTGGTCCTACACCATTCTCATAATTGTTGTTATTGATGTTTGAAAGGCAAACTCTGCCCAGGATGAAGCTAGCCACTAGCCTTCTGTGTGATAGCACTGTGATTCTGGAGAAAATCTTAGAACTGGACAGTTTGGTGTAATAGTGATCCCATGGTCACATCCTTGGCCATCCTTGGTCACTGCTTGGCATAGTCATTTCACTTTTACAACCTTCCTTCTCTCAAAAGTTCTCTTCTATGTTCATTTGGCTTCATACCCAGTTGAGAAATGGAAGCCATCATTTGGTGAATCCTTTAACGTCCCACAACCCAATCTGCAAACATCCCCCATGTGTAGTGCTACCGTTTGGCTGTGAAGGGAAAGAGCAGCAAGCCGGGGCTCAGCTTGCTGGTGGTTGGGATCACCAGTCATCTGCTACCCCAGTTGAAGCTCCTGTCATCCTTTGAGTGAGCTAACCCTTTTCACTTTGTTGTTTCTTAGGTGCCATTAAGTTGGTGCTCACTCATAAGACCCTTTATAGACAGAACAAAACAAAATGCTGCCTGTTCCTGTGCCAGCTTCAGACTTGTTTGAGCCCTTCTTGCAGCCACTGTGTCAGTCCAGCTCACTGAGGGCCCTCTTCCTCACTGGCCCTTGACTTGACCAAGCATGATGCCTTTTCCCAGGAACTGGTCTCTCCTGACAACATGCCCTGAAGTATGTAAGGCTAAGGCTTGCCATCTCACTTACTTCTAAGGAGCATTCTGGCTGGCTGTCCTCCAAGACAGATTTAGGTATCCTCAAATTTACTTTTGCTTCTTTTTTTTACTGTCACTTTTTTAATATCTCCTTTTCGTAAATGAGGCTGGTGTGTCAGTTTAAAATGCTGATGCTTTGCCAAAACACGAGCCTGAATCTTGCCCAAGGAAAGCCAGACTGCTGTGGCATAGAGAGGAAGTCAGATATTCAGAGCTTGTTGACCGAAGGGGTTAATTCAACAGTGTCGCCTGTTAAATAAAGGTAAATGTACAACAACTCCAAGTCTCATCTCCCATGCATTCCAAGGGCAGGGAGGTTCCCGCAGATCCTGAACTATGTGCCTCTGCCAGGGATGGCTCCCTGCAAACTAGTCCTGGGTGTTTCTTGCTTGCTTGCTCTTTTGACTTTTAGGTCTTTATTCTCTTCTTTGCATTTAGAAGGAATGATTAGAATTTCTTGTATCACGGTTTTCCTTCATGGTTTGTGTTTTGGTTGGTTGGTTTATTGGCAAGCATCAGTGCCGCATTACCTAGCGCTCCCCGCCTTCACCTTGCCGCCGAGAGACCACTAGAGAGCACGGCATTGTCTGCATCCGGCTGTGACTGCTCCTTCACCACAGGGTAGAAGTACGGGTACTCCATGGCCTCTTTGGCAGTCCGTCGCTGTTTATGGCCGTATTGCAGAAGTTTGTCTAGAAGATCCAGGGCCTCCGGGCTGACCAGGTGTCTGTTCTCACAATGGATCAAGTTCTTCCAGAGTTTCCATGAGTGTTGTCCCAGGTTATGGTGGAAGTGTGGATCCAGGTCTATGTGATACTGCTTCTGATACCCACACAGCTCCTCTGTACCCAGAACATTGGCAACGCGGACAAGCTGGTCATAGTTGTCCTGTCCGTGGAAGAAGGGCTCCTTTCGGAAGATCATGCTTGCGAACATACAGCCCAAACTCCACAGAGCCAAGCTATAATCATACATCTGATAGCCCACAAGGAGGTTCAGGCCCCTTGAAGTACCTCGAGGCCACCCGGACATTGTACTCCCAGACATTGTACTCCCGAGCGGGATGGTGGAACTCGGCCAGACCCCAGTCTATCAGTCGCAGCTTTTTCTGCTGGTGATCTAGGATGACACTGTGAGGCTTCACATCCCTGTGCATGATCCCCTTGCTGCGGCAGTAATCCAGAGCTTTAAGTAGTTCATACATATAAAACAGGATATCAAAGTCTGTCAGGATCTGGTAGAGTTGCTTACAGTCTGTATTATTGATATATTCAAATACCAAAGCTGGGGTCTTTGACACAGGGTCCTTTACAGTGCCAATCAGCTTAATGATATTTTGTTCCACCGTGAAGGTTCTCCAGAATCTTAACCCCTCGTTTTATCTTCTTTTTCATCACTGGTGTGAGGCTTTTCACAACCATTCTCTCATTTTTGGTGATGTTAGTGGCCTCAAATACTTTGCTATACTTGCCCCCGACCAAGTTTTCCAACCAGTTGGTAATCACCCTGATTCCCCCAGCTCGCTCGGGATGTGTGACTCATAGTCCCAGTAATCTCGGTTCCTCAGGCTGTTCACCTAGGCTGCGTAGACCTGGGCTCTGCTGCCCGGACCTGGGGGTGCCGTGGGTGCTGAGAGCAGCCAAGGGCACGGGGCGGCAGGCTGGGGGCACTCAGGACAGTGGGGCGGAGGTGGGGGGGTGAGCTCGCCCTGGAAAGGCCTGCGGGCTAGGGGATGCTCACGCTCTACAACGGCCTAGGCCTGGCTCTGGGTCCCAAGGCGGTGGCTGCGGCCCCTCTTTTCTTTTTTAATACTGTAGCCAGAATGGTTTTTTTAAGATTATAAATCTAATTGACAAACTTCCATGAAATATTTTTAAGAGTATCCATGGCTCTTACATCTCCAGAGAAGCCTTCCACAATCTCTCGAGCCTTTGCTGTACGAGGAGAGAATCTTACTGAGTGTGGTAGCCTCTACTTGACCAGGTGACTGCTGATCAAGCCATGCGCTCCGACGCTTTTCTCGTCTAGCCCATATAGCAGTTTATAATTGTGTATCTGTGTGGTTGTTTCCGTCTGTTTGCTGATGGAAATCCTTTGCTTAGGAGAGCATTTACTTTGTTATCATGTGCCCTGAAAGACAGCGCAGAACTGCCCACAAGGTTCCCTGGGCAGTCCTCTTTACAAGAGCAGCCTGCCGCATCTTGTTTCTTGTCAAGCTGCTGGTGATTGCAAACACTGATACTTTCTTTCGCTCTGTAAAGTTTCTTTTCATCCTTTTAATAGAGTCTGGGACAAAGCAAAAATATTATTTATTTTGATAATGACCAGTGTATCAATTTTTTATAAAACATGTTTTTGCTTAGTCTTAAATCTGGAAAGATTTCTCCTGGGTTTTTTTGAAACTTCTTATAGTTTTACATTTTTAAGCTAATGATCTATTTTGAGTTGATTTTTATATACAATATGAAACTTAAGTTGAGGTTTAGTTTTTTACTTATGATTGTTCACTTTCATAAAAAAATTTATTGAAAGAGCTGCTTTTCTTCCATCGAATTGCTTTTGCATTTAAAAAAAATCATTTTATTAGGGGGCTCATACAACTCATCACAATCCATACATACATCAGTT